GTGTAGTTTTCATCTCAAGGATGAGGTGACAGCTCTGAGGTGAAATCCCACCCTGGGCATGTGACGCTGAGAGGCTGTCTTGAGGTTAGGCTGGTTCTGTGGGCAGAGTGCCTGAGACTGTACACCGCATGAGGCAGCGTGGGAAAAGCTGGCGGAGCCAGTGTGTGCACACGTGTGGGTAAAAATACATTCTCGATGGCCAGGTACGACCTGGGCACATGTGCTGAGAATGCTAAGCGACGTCTTTGAAAATAAGTTGTAAACAGTTCATGAAGCAAAAAGCGGCAGAAGGACAGGAAGACCTGGCGAGCAACACAAGCAGAAGTAAGGGCTGTGGCCGGTGGCCACCTCGGGCTCACCTTGTTCCAGATGAAGGTGCCCAGCAGGTTGTTGTCCCCGAAGGGGTTGTCGGTGTTGGTGTAGCCCATGTACTCCTCGCCCCAGCCCATCTTCTCGCGCTGCTTCCTCTCCTTGGCCTCCTTCTTGGCCAGCCGCCGCGCCCGCTTCTCCTCGGGCGTCTCAAAGGCCTTCATCAACTCCTCCTGCTGCTTCCGCTCCTCGCGCAGGCGCAGCCGCTCCTGCAGGCTCTGCCGCTGGCTCAGGACCGCCGCCGCCGCCCGAGGGCTCTGGGAGTGGCCCGGGGACGTGGAGCTGGATGCGGAGGAGCTGGGGGACCAGCAGTGTGGCCGCTGCTGCCACTGGCGGGCCCATCGGCCCCGCTGCTGCTGCCGCTCGTCACCCGAGTCGGACTGAGAGGAGCGGTCCTGGGAGCGCCGGTGGGCTGGCGGGGGGCTCCGGCTCTGCCTGCCTCGCCGCTGCTGCCACTGCTTCTCATCCGAATCCAACCTGCGGAGGGAACCCGTGAAGCTCTGCTCGCTGCCTGCTGGCCAGCCATCTATCCCACCGCCCTTTGCTGGGCGCCTGCTGGGTGCCAGGAGCTGTTCTAGGTTCTGGGGACACGGCAGTGACCAAAACGTTGATGGCCCCTGCCTGCACATCAACACACAGTGTGACACTAGATGGTACCATGAGCTACCAAGATAGCGATGCAGCATTAGGGTGTGGAGAGGTCAGAGAGGATCTCTCTGAGGAAGTAACGCTGGAGGAAGTGGGGGAGGGAGCTAGGCGGACATCTGGAGAAACAGTGATCCAGGGAGAGGGCACAGCAAGAGCAAAGGCCCTGGGGCAGGAATTTACTTGGCATATTCAAGCAGCAGCAGGCAGGCCTGTGTGTCTGGAGCAGAGTGAGTGAGGGGGAGAGAGGGAGGAGGGAAAGGCAGGGAGGCAGGCTTGGGGCCAGATGGTGCAGGAGCTACAAGCGCTGTCCAAGGTGTCCAGGGAGGGCTTACAGGAGAAGATGGTGTTTATCTGGTCCTATAGGACGGGCAGGAGTGAACTGGAGTAAGACTGTAGGGAATACAGAGCCTTGGAAGGGCACTGCGAGCAGGAAAGGCAACATACGAATCCTGGGGATAGATTCTTTAATGTTGGGGGCCTCTGAGCAACTAATTCTGTCTTTAGTTTGCCAAATGCTCCACTTACTAAGTTCACGTCAAAGAATCTACACCATGAAAATCAATTATTTGATTTTCAAGTACGTAAATACAGACTGCAAATCTAATCAAATCTTCATAAAGGACATTGACTCTAATTACATTTCTAGGGTGGCTGATTCTTGTGAATAACTAAAATCTTAGAAACCCCTAGCTGATAATAACAAGACTTACAACTACACGTGAACCAATGCTAAAACATCAAGGCCAGGAGCTGAAACCAGAGTTAGCAAACTTTTTCTGTTAAGAGCCAGAGTGTCTATGGCACACCTACTCAACCCTGCAGTCACAGTGCAAAAGCAGCCACAGACTGTACGTGAACAAATAGGCATAAACTTGTTCAATAAAATGTTACTTCTGGACACCAAAACCTGAATTTCATATATTGGGTTGGCCAGAAAGTTTGTTTGGGTTTTTCTGTAACATCTTGTGGAAAAACCCGAATGAACTTTTCGGCCAACCCAAATAATTTTCACGTGTCATGAAATACTATTCTTTTGATTTTTTTTTTTTCTCCTCACCGTTTAAGCATGTAAAAACTATGCTTGGTCCACAGGCTGTAGTTTGCCAAGCCCTGGTTTAAACCATCTCTTTACTATTCCCTCTGCTTATATCTTCCTGGAATTCCTAGGTGGCAATGATCTTATGAGACTCAAAAGGAAAAGCCACCTTCTCAAACCTAGAGGGTGATCAGCTATGTCTGACAACAGTCACTCCGGCTATGGCACGGAGAACAGGCTGGAGGGATGGGAGACAGCGCACGCCTGGAGAAGCCCCGTGGAGATCCTGAGGGCACAGATGAGGAAATCTGGGGGACAGTGGGGCAGGTACTGGCCTGAGTGTCACAGCCAATTATGGGCTGAGCCAGCACTAGGACGCAGGTCTGAGAGTCAGTCCCTATCACGGTGCTGGTTCCTTTGTGCTGGAGCAGACTCAAGCCAACGCTGGCCAGGTGCCCCATCTCCAGAAGAAAAGGGCTGCGGGCTGAGGGGCGGCTGAGCACCAAGTCTCAGGAGTCAGTTGAGTCCTGCCGCCTGCCACCAACAGTTCTTCCCTCTCACACCCCACCTCCACTGGCAAGTGCTGTCACCTCTACTTCGGAAATCCCTCTCAAATCTCCCCATTTCCCCACTGTACCTCCCCACAGCCTCCCTCTCCTGAAGGCCACCATCATCTGTTGCCTGGACAGCTGCACTATCTTCCTCCTCCCTGGTGTCACTCCTGCCGACACGCTCAGTCCCTTCTCCACGCGAAAACCAGCAGGAGTTCTGCAAAGTAATCCAGACCACATCGCTCCCTGGTTCAAAATCCTCCACAGCTCCCTACTCCCCTCCAAATAACAGTCAAACCCTTCACCACGGTACACAAGACTGCACGATCTGGTCTCCCGCTTCCTCTCCGACCTCATCGACTCCCCTCCGCCTCGCTCACGGCGCCTCCTGCTGTACTTCCAACCACCAGGCGCCCTGCCTGGAACGCCTCTCGCTTTCCTTTCGCTGCCTGGTTTACCCCGACGTGCTCAGACGTCCCCTTCTTCAGGAAGCCCTCCCTGACTAACTCGGGGGTCTCCCAGCTCCCCGAGGGCTGGAGCCGCACCCCCAGCGCGGCTCACCCAGCGACCCTACCTGCGCTCCCGGCTCCTCCGCCTGCGCCGCCTCTCGTCGTCCCGGCGACGTCGGTTTCGCCGCCCATGGCTCCCGCTAAAACTTCGGCTCCGACTCCGACTCCCACTCCGCCTCCGCTGCCTTCGGCCCCTGCGACCAGCCGACCGCGAGCGAGATCGTGTATCGCGACCCATCGGCTGGGACGGTGGCGTCGGCGCGGACACAAATATCCGGGACCTGCGCCGGGGGCCTTCCTCGATCGCGGCGCGTGCCTGGCTGCCCCACCCACGCCTGAGCAGGGAGATAGGAACCCATCTCGCGGCTCATCCTTCGGGGATTCCGACCCTCCCATAACCTCCCCACCGTCCTCAAACGTGGCCTGCGTAATGAACTCCTACCGGACTGTTGTCGCTAGGGCTGGGGATTCGTTCTTCAGGCAGTACTGGGGGCAGGCCCAGGTGGGTCCTCGAGCCTTAGGGAGCCAGAGGAGCAGTGGGCGGAGCAAGGACGAACCAGGAACTGTGAGGGGGCGGGGCCTGGGGAGGCGGAGCCTGGGGAGGCGGGACCAAGAGAAGGTGGGGTCTCGGGGCGTAGCCAAGGGAGGCGTGTCCCGGGGGCGAGGTCTCGCGGCCTGTGGAGGCGGGGAAGCCTCACCGTGGGTGAGAGTTCAGGCTGCCCAAGGAGGCGAGGGGTGGGAGCTGGGACGGAGACGGAAAAGCCTTAGATGCTGGGCTGACCCTCTGTGAGAATCACCATCATGCTTCACCACCCGCCAATAATACCTATGTGTTTCAGGAGTTAAGGTAAAAAAACAAAACATAACTTGGATAACTCAAGTTCCCCATTAACCCATTTCATAGAGGGGGAAACTGAGGCTCAGAGAGCGACAGTCACTGTAACACTCCCGCTCTCAATGAGGCAGTGCAGAGCTGGGATTTGAACTTGGTGGTCCAGCTTTGTCCTCTGGGTGCTGGCGAACCGTAAGAGGGCTTTGAGCAGGGAGGGATGAAAGGGGTCGTTAGGTGGGGTCCCTTCAGGGCAGGCAGACAGGGGCAAGACTGGAGGGGCAAGAATGGAGGCCCGGAGATCTGAAGGACCCCGAAGTCCCGAAGTCCTGCCCTGAGCTCTCCCAGCCCACCCCAGAGAATGGCACTTAATACTTTAAATGTTTATCCTATAACACAACTTCCTAACACCACCCTAGATGCTAGCTTTGTATGCTCTGCTTGGTGCCGAGGTGGCGGTGGTGGCGCAAAGGGAACCCTTGATGACTGCCTGTCATGGGATGTGGGTTGTCCTGGTGATTTTCCCCATGCAGATGCATCCTTGAGCTTATCTGGATACTCATCTCTGAATGTAAGGTGAGCACATTCTCGATCGCCTAGTCTTGTGTATAAACAAGCCGAGCCGTCTGCGTCTGGGATTAAAACTGGGTTTTCCAAGGGCTTGCTTACAGACAGGATCTTATTTTCATTGCAGTGTTTCTCAAATTGGGAGTCCGGGAGAAATATTTTCCCCTTAAAAGGGGTCCACGCATTACTCAACTTGAGAGACTCTGGCAGAACAAATACAAACTCCGGGGAGTGTTTTGTTCCTTCCAGCTGGGTTGCACTGATGTGAGCTTTTAGTTTATCCGAGCTGAACTGGAACTCACTACTATTAAGGCATTCGGGTCCATTGTTGTTATTTATTTTGATTCTTACTAAGGTTTCTTTGTGCTCTCCTTCAAAGTCAGTCCTTAAACTCCCACTCAGACTTTCGGAACGCACAGAGAGACAAAGAGGTGGCTAATGCTTATTACCCGATTTATTAGAGAGATCTCTTCCAAGTAAAAAGGGGGGGGGGTGGCGGGGCTGGGGGGTGGGGTCCCGGGGCTGCATATGAGTGTTACGGGGCCAGCAGTGGCTGCGGTTACAGAGGCGCCCATGGCTCTGGGTTTGAGCGGGATGGCGTCCTGTGCCCGAGGAGGCTGTACCCCGGATTGTCACACACCAGACCATGGGGGCTGAGCACACGGAACCCCCGGTGAGAATTAAGACACACAAGGTTTGCAGTTTCGTTGTGTTTGGAAATCAGTTCGGCCATAAAAATGGGGTTGGGATGGGGACAGGCGATGCAACTGAACCACCAGAGAAGGTGGCCAAGGGTGCTCGTCCCGGAGCGGGGACCGAGGGGCTGCGGCGACAGTACCATGGCAGGGGGCCCCAGTGGGACAGGAGTATTGCACTGAGCCAGGTGGTGGAGGGAGAGGGCGAGAGGAGGCAGAGGCCAGAGGCCAGCAGGGGACACACCGGAGGTTCCACCTTGTCAGTCTCAGAACACGCCTTTCATTTGTACACTCGTGCCCACGTTCGCAGCAGCCGTCAGGGACGAGCTGCGACAGAACCAGGACATCGCCACAAAGGAGTCGACAGACTTCCATCCTGGGGCGGGGTGGGGGACAACAGCCGGCTGGGTCCAGGGCCCTCCTTGCTGGGGGTCTGGGGAAGGCCGCGAGTTCACTACACGTGATAAATAAGGTCCTGCCTTCCTACCCTTGCCCTGACCATAAGCACATGCCTCCCATCGGCCCAGTCCGCAGACCACTTTGCATCCGTGTGACGGTCCTCTGAAAAAGGGACAGAGAATGCAACTAACACAAAGGGGGCCTTCAAAGGGGTGTTCATGACTTAGCACAAAAATGAAAACGTCTTGGTCACCAGAAGGTTTGCAAATTTCTCCAAGTCAGCATCGGACTGATGCATTTGTTCCGTGGTTCACTCAGGAAAGCCTGAGGGGCCCAGCTCCTCCAGCTCCAGGTGGCTAAGGGCACCCTGGACGTGGGGCCCGATGCTCTGGTGGTCCCCACGGGACACAGTGTCTCTGTGCGCGGCCTCTGGGGGCCTGGGCGGGGACTCCGGTCGGCTTTTGGGCGACTCAGCAGTCCCTGTTCGTCCCCTTCAGACCTCTGCCCACTCAGCCCGCCTCTCCCTGGGCAGGACGGGGCAGGCACTGAAGAGGGCGCCCGTGTGAAGTCCAGGCGAGGACGTTCTGGAGTCTGGACACACCTTCCGTGGACAGGAGGGGAGGACGCTGTTTTGCTTCTAGTCCAGGACACTGCAGGCTTGTTCGGGCAGGTCCTCTTCCCAGAGCTGCTTCGTGCTGAAGTGTCCCTGGCGGCCCTGCGTGGGGAGAGCGCCCAGGGCGCAGCCCGGTTCTCCAGGGAGGAGAGGTGCAGCTAGACACCAGGTTCTGGCCAGGCGCACGAAGCGGGCTGTGCCGGGGAGGCGAGGAGGGGGCCCGCCGAGCACGAGGACAGCAGTGTACGCAGTTTGCAATGGACTCAAAAAATCAAATTCCTGGGTCGGTGGGTTCTCCAGCTGTCTCAGGCTCCACCAGGGAGGCAAAGGTGGGGAGAAATTTTCCCAGAAGGTGCAACTTCCACTCCACGCTAGCTCCCAGCTCCTCCCATGCAGGGCGGGGCGGGCCAGGGGAAACCATCCCTGTTGTGTCCCTCTCCAGAGGCGGGAGAGACCCTGCAAAGCTGCCAGCTCCAGCAGCCTGCTGTGGACACAGCAGGGGCCCCTGGCGACTGACCTGTGGGGCTCTGGGCCCAGCAGTGGTTGCCCTGCTGAAGATGACCATCCAAAAAAAAAAAAAATTTGTTTTTCACCAAGAATTTCTTCTCCTGTCCTTCAATCGGCACAGGTGCCCCCACCATTAAAAAGGAAGAGGATGCCCACCTCAGTCCTCTTACTCAAGGGGGTCTGGTCCTCTAGGCCGGGCACCTGACTGTGGGGCTCTGCTCCAGGACACGGCTCTCGGGAAGTCCCGTGGGCTAAGGGCCCGGCCGCCTCCTCCCAGCTTGGTCCGTCTTCTGGAAGAGAGGTAAGCCCACGGCCCTGAGAGTTGCATTGAGAGGGGGCGGCCGTGCGTCCACATGGAGGTTCTAATCACGCCTGGTGATTCCTGCTCAAGGTCACCGGGGAGGTGGGAAACAGATGCTGAGAGATGGCAGGGGTGACAGGGTGGAGAGCGCCCCCAGCCACCCCCCGGCCACCCTCAAGGACTGTGTCCGGCTCTTGGCCCAAAACCCTGAGCCAAGAGCACCTGGCAGGCGCGATGGGAGGCCTCCAGAGGCGCCCTGGGGACCCAGTGGCCCTTCCATCCCAGGGGCCCGTCCATCCTGGCCAGGACTTGGAATGGATTCCACTGGGGTGCAGGTCCCCAGAGCCTAGGGCCTGGTTCCCTCAGCAAGACACATGCAAGCACAGCAAAGAACCAGAAGTGCAGTGGAATGGAGTTTTTTCTTTTCCATTGTGTGGTGGTTTTGTGTTTTTTTTGGCCTTTTTCTTTTTCTAAAAAACACACGTGTGCTGCCATGTCTGTGCAAAGAATAAGGGCCCCAAATAAATACATGATCAGAAACTCAGGAGGGTTCACAGTATCAGGCATAGGGAGCTGACAGGGAGCCGGGGCCAGGTGAGTCGCCCGGATTGGGATCGCTGCAGCCCGAGCGTCCGCGCCGTCGAGGGGAGGGCGAGGGTGAGGGCCGGCGGCCAGGCGGGCGTCTCCCGAGCTCTGGGCTGAGCAGGTGGGCAGCACCTCCAGGGAGCAGCCGGGGCAGCAGCAGACACTTGGCTCCGTCAGTGCCTGCATAGGAATTACTGAAGAGGCAGGGGGCGGGTGAGGCCATGTTGGGCCGGGGCCGGACCCACACCCGCCGGGCCTCCCCTGGCCGGGTCGGGCCCCACAGCTGATGCCGAGGGCCAGGGACCCCAGGAGCCATGAGGGCTGGACACAGGCCCCCGCACGGTAGAGCCCGGCTGCCCCTCCCACCCTGGGCCTCAGTTTCCCTGTCAGTCCCGGGGTGCCTGCAGGCCCTCCTTGGCCAAGGCCACGGGCCTGAGCCCCGAGTGGGCCCGGCTGGCCAGCCGCGGCGCACTTACTGTGTCGCTCTCGCCGTCGGAGGCGGGGTGGGCCTGCGTGCTATAGTGAAGCGGGGAGTACACCCAGCTCCTCTCATCGGTGGGCTGGAGGGCAGGCAGGCGGCACGTGCGGGAAGGGCGCAGAAGAAGAGCAGGGTGCGAGGAGGTGCGACAGAGGCGACAGGAAGGAAGGAAGAAACAGAAATAAAAGAGGGGGCCCCCGAGGCGGCACGGGTGGGCGGCTCAGCCCCCGCTGCCCTCTCCCTGACGGGGACCTGCCCCAACCCGGATGGCGCTCGGGCTCGGCGGGGCCGGGGGGCCGGGCCTCTGGGGCTGAGTGGCCAGAGCGCGGTGGGGCGGGCAGCAGGAAGCGGTGAGCAGGGGGGTCAAGGCAGGGCTGGCACAGCAGGAGGCGGGGGGGGGGGGCGGGGCTTGGTTTGCTCTGCTGTCCACCCCCACCCCCCCCACCCCCCGCCATGGCACCCTGACCTCCAGCCTAGCCCGGCAGCACCCTGGAGACCCTCTGCTGGGGGTCCTGAGTGGTGGCGACGGGGGGAGCCCATTTCCTGACCCGGGAAGCCTTTCAGCACCGGCACACACAGGTTTGCTCAGGAGAGACCCAGGCAGGCGCCACCCAGAGAGCAAGCAGCAGAGGCCTCCCTGCCCCGCTCCAAGAGCCCAGGGTCACCTTCCTGGGGAGGGGGCGCAGCGGAGCCCAAGTCCCGGCCTGGGGACAGGCAGAGCGGGGACTGGCCGCCGAGGGGCCACAGGATGGTCTTCCTCCAGCTGCGTCTGGGGTGGGGTCCCAGTCCAGGTCCCACCGCGGCGAGGACATACATTCCTCCGGCCCCCTCGTCCCTCCCAGGTCTGCTCTCACCACCAGAACATTCTTGGGGCTCCCCCGGCCGCCTTCTGTTCTCTCTTCCTTCAACGTCCCCCACAGCCTGTGACCTCCACCCCTGCCGCCAGAGCACACACCTGTCCTGGCCACGTCCCCCTGGGCGTCCCACGGCCCCTAAGCCCACGATGGCACCCCAAGACCCACCCCTCCTCGGCGGGGTTGGGGCACCACCAGCAACCAGCCTCTGCCCTGCTGCCCTTGGGGCCCGCCGGCCGCCTCTCCACCCCACCACCCCACCATCCCCGCAGCTCACAGGCCGTCCCGGTACCCGTGTGGGCCCAGGCCGTGCACCCACGAGAACCGTGTCCACCTATGGAGGGGTTCGCACAAAGCATCTGGGGCAGCAGGGCGAGACCCCAGCTCAGGCCCTGCTCATTCCTTCAGGGGGTCACAAAGCAATAACCCCCCTGGCCCCCTGCCCACCTGGGAGCCCGGGGGGCGGGGCCGGGCCCGTCTGGGGCCACGGCAGGTCCTGACACTGGGGTGGCTGCCCTGCTGGGCTCAGAGTGGGGATGACACAGGGGTCCCACAGGGAAACCCGTGAGGAGCCGGCCCTGGGTGACCCGCGGAAGTTGGGCCAAGGGCACGCCTGCCCCGCACGGCGGGCCTCGGGGTCCAGCCTTCCTCTTGCCACTTCCTCTCCTCCCGTCGGCCTCCAGGCTCCTGCCTCTTCGGTGCTCCAGCCAAGACCGCCCTTCCTCTTCCGCCTCCCCACACCCTACGCGCTTCTCAAAAGTCCGGGTCAACCCCCCTCCAGGCAGCCTCTGCCACAGCACCCCACCCCACGGCCCTAGCGCGCCACGTGTCCCCGACTCTGGGACCATCTCTGGGGAGCGGCATCCCTGGCTGGACCGAGCATGGTGGGAGGGCTGTGGAAGCAGTCTCAATTTTTCAGGCTCGCCCGGCAGCGCCCGACACCCAGTGACGCTCAGAGGGGCTGCTGACGGGGCTGGAGTGTGGTCTCCAAGGGGCCTCATCTTGAGAACACAAAGTCTCGCTTTAGGCCTTTGCCTTGTCCTGCCCGTTTGAGTGCTGTGTGCCTCTGGGAGGTTACTTGGCCTCTCTGGGCCCCCATTTATTGCTCACAATGACAATAACAAGTACTAACGATGCCACCGCTACACAATATCCCCATAGCATCCCAGACACGCTGGGTGGATAAGCGTTTATTAGACACACAGGTGCCTGAAGCTTGGGATCCAGATTGTGTCTACCCTGTACTCTCATGGGCTCCCTGGAGAGCCAGGGACTCGGTGTCTCCATCTGTGAAATGGGTATGGAGACACCAGCTCCTTTCTCCTGCAGTTAAGGGCTTGGCTTTGCAGTCCCGCTGCTGACTCATGACGCTACCCCCTTCAGGGGACAGACACCCTGTGGGAGCCGTCAGCAGCGAGGTCTGAACAAGTGGGAGCAGGGCACCTGGCACGTCCCTGACCCGGGAGGGTTGGGACAAGGGGCAAGGGTGGCCAGGGGATGGGGGTCAGATGCAGACCCTGCCACAGCCAGGCCAGCCCCTGGAGCCCCAGCTGTGTGCCCGCAGGCCCAGTGATGCCCACCTCAGAGGGGAGTAAGCAACGTCCCCATGGGATGCCTGCAGCACAGAGCCCCACACGGGCCAGCGCGGCTGACCTCAGCCACAGTGACATTTTCCCCAAGTCCCTTCTCAGAGGAAGAGGAACAGCCAGGACCTGTGGCTCCCTGTTGCCCACGGCGCGGGGCGGGGCTGGGCTCCCTGGAGGCCTGCCACGGTCACTTACAGTCCCTGAGGAGCTCAGCGTCACGGCCCGCAGTCGGCGATGCCGGGGAGAGTAAATCCAGTACCTCCCATCGGTGAACTGGGCGGGCCGGGCGGGCGGGGGAGGAAGCAAACAGAGGACAGGATGAAGTGACAGGATGAGGCCACAGGGATCTGGCAGGTGGTCAGGCAGGGAGGGCGCCGGGAGGGGCAGGTGAGCCGATGGCCAAGCAGGAGGTGCGGGCAGGGGTCCCACTGGCTTCCTTCTCTGCCGCGCGGGGCCCGGCTGCCCACTCAGGGATTTCGGGACCCTGACGCACACGACAGGACACGGCCCCAGGGGCCACCTCCCACAGATCCAGAGAGCGGGAAGCAACCAGCCCCGGCGGGAGCTGACGGCAGGTGGGGGGACACACAGGGTGCACTTGGTACCCTCCAGGCCAGGCAGGGCCGTGCCCTGGCAGCACTGGCTCGGGGACCGAGAGCAGGGAGGTCGGTGTTAGTTACGAAGCAGCGATGCCAGCGGGAGGGCCAAGGTCACCCAAACAGGCCCCAAGGCCCAGCGCCGGGCAGGGGGCAGGCCCCGGCTCATTTTCCTGGGGCAGGGGCAGGGGTCAGAGGTGAGAATGAAGGTCCGGGAAGAGGACGGGCGGCTGGGTGCGTGTCTGGCCCTCTCTGTTGTAACTGGGACCGTGGGATCCCTGAGCAGGGCCACCCAAGGGAGATGGCTCCAGGACCCACTATCGGGGGCTCCCTGGCCCCCGGGCACCCACTTCACCCAGGCTCCTGGTTCAGCTCCCTGCCCGCCCATGGGAGGTGTGTGGGGAAGGAGACCCCCGGCGCTGGAGAGAGGCCCCGGGTCCCCGGGGCAGGGCCCCTTCCGACTCTGACGGACGCCACCTCGTCCGGGAGCAGCTGTGCACCCTCATCCTGTGAAGGCGGCAGTGGGGCCCACCTGCCCCTCTCGGCGGGGCCCTGGCCTCCCTGCGCACGGAGCCCGCCCTCTGCACCCACCACCCAGGGAGAAGGTGCACGTCATGCCAGCCCACCACGGCCAGCCCGGGCTGCCCGGCACCCAGGGCCTGGGCCTCCCCTCAGGCCAGCGGGGCCGAGCACTTGACGACTCCAGATGTCTCCCGGGGCACTGCTGAAGACAGGGCCTTGGCTCGTGACCAGATGTGGTCATGAGGCCTGGGCCGGAGGGCCTGGGCTGGATGGTGAGGGACGGGGGTGCTCCCCAACACCTGAGTGTGAGCGTGCTGGCCGGGCACGTGGCCCTGAGTGTTGAAAGGTGAGCACCCACGTGTGCCCGTGTGCCTGAGTGTGAGTGCACGTGCAGGTGTGCACAGGCGCCTTGAGTGTGCGACGTGTCAGCACGAGCCTGTGAGGGAGCAGTGTGCGTGAACGGGTGTGGGTGTAAGCACACGTGGGTTCGTACAGGCACGTGCGTGTGTGTGCACGTGTGAGCACAGGTGGTGGAGGGTCCGGCGACGGGAGGGATCCCGGGAGGACTTACAAAGTAGATGTCTGTGGCGGGCGCGTCCTCCTCGTCTGAGGCCTGGCTGGCGGGCTCAGAGGCCTGGCTGGCGGTTTCCACTTCGACGGCGGCAGAGGCACAGGCCGGGGATGACCCCTCCCTGGGGACACGGGGAAGACACGGGAGTCCTGGCTGGGGGTGCTCTGGACAGCCCGCGCCTTCTCCAGCCCACACCCCAGGACCCTCCCTGCTCTGCACCATCCTTGACGCAGGGAGTCCGACTGCAGGGATGCATCCTGTCTGACACGTTCTAGTTCCCGCACAAAACAAACAGAACACCCCCAAGCACTGCTGCAGCCCAGGGAACAATGTGCCCACCCCCGAGCAGGTGGGCCCTTCCCCCTCTATTTGCTCAGCTTCACGCCTGTGGGCAGATCCCCGCCTCACCACTCACTTGCTGGGCAGCCATGAGGACCACGTTCTTTCTCGGAACCTCAGTTTCCTCGTCTGTAAGGTGGGGACACATGGCACCTACCCCCGAGGGGCCAGAACCTCTTTCTCCTCTTTTCTGAGCACTTACTAGGTGCCAGGCCTGTCTGAGGACCTCGTGTGAATGAACCCACCAAACTTCCACTCGGGAAGGAGGGATGCTGCTGCTGTCCTGTGTTACAGATGAGGAAACTGAGGCTCAGAGTGAAGGTGAGGAACGTGCCCGAGGCCTTGGCTGGCGGCCATGTGACTGGTGACTAAATTTCACCTCCTGGATGAAATGACGAGTTCTGAGAAGAAAGAGCACCTGTAACCGTGCAGAACTGGTTCTCCAGTCACGTTTGAGGGCAACTTGTTTTGTGGGGCAAAGACTGAATGACATTTCCCACCGCGACACTTCAGTTAATGGCAAAAAAGCTGACAGTGGCAGGAACTGGTGCGTGTGTGTGAAATAATAGCAAAGTGCACCTGGGAATGTGTGCTGGGAGTGCTAAGTAAAGTCTCTAGAAATAGAACAGAAATTCTAAAAAGTATATAAAGCAAAAATTATGGGAAAGGCAAGAAGAACTGGATAAGGCAATTACAGAATTAAACAGCCCAAACAGATAAGAGGCAAGTAAGGACATAAAGGAACCGATGACACCAATCAAGACACTGGACAGAAAAGGCTTGTAAAGAACTTTCCATCTTTTCACAGAGAAGACACTTTTCTCCCAAGTGTCCACGGACACTTAAAAAGTGAATTTTGGGGACTTCCCTGGTGATGCAGTGGTGAAGAATCTGCCTGCCAATGCAGGGGGGACACGGGTTCGAGCCCTAGTCCAGGAATATTCCACATGCCGTGGAGCAACTAAGCCCGTACGCCGCAACTACTAGGCCTGCTCTCTACAGCCCGAGAGCCACAACTACTGAGCCCACCTGTCACAACTACTGAAGCCTGCGTGCCTGGAGCCCTTGCTCCGCAACAAAGAGAAGCCACTGCAATGAGAAGCCCGCGCACCACAACGAAGAGTAGCCCCCGCTCAGCAACGAAGACCCAACCCAGCCAAAAAAAAAAAAAAAAAAAAAAATAGCGTATTTTTTGGCTGCATTGAGCAGCATGCGGGATCTCAGTTCCCCGACCAGGGATCGAACCCCTGCCCCCTGTAGTGGAAGCGCAGTCTTAACCACCGGGGAATTCCCCAAAGCATAGACTTTTTTAGGCCATTTTCTTCAGCTCGAAACCTAATAAAGTTAGAAGTACCAAAAAGGTAAACAAAAAATCTTAAACACTTGAGAGACACCCCTAAAAAGCCTTAGTCCAGGGTCTCCCCCTCAGCACTGCTGACATCGGGCAGGTCATTCTCTGCTGGGGGCCATCCTGGGCACTGTGGGGTGTGGAGCAGTGTCCCTGGCTCCCACCATGATGCTAAGAGCACCCCCGGTGACCACCAAAGATGTTCCCAGACGCTGCCCACTCTCCCCTGAGGGCAAAATCACTCTCAGGTGGTTGAAAGCCACTATCTTAATTCAAAAAAGAAATAAGAAAAAAAATCACTAACCATGCACATGTGAGTCAGTATAAAAGAACTGCTTCACGTCAAAACCCACGGGACACCGCAAAAGCAGTACTCAGAGGAAACTACATAGGCTTAAGGGCCTCATTATTAAAGAAAAAAACGAATTTAAGCACTGGAAAAAAGAAACAAGTGAGAAAACAAACCAGAAGCAGCTAGAAAGAAGTCATTACTGGCGAGTTACAGTGAATGAAATAAAAACAAAACACAACAGGGGAAAAGGTAACTAAGTCCCCAACTGGTTCTTTGAAAAGCTTGTAAGTTGCTGTCTCGCAAGCCCCAGCAAAGCTAAGAGGGCGAAGAGAGGAAGGGTGGGAGGGAAAGTGACCTCAGATGACAGGGCGGCTCTGAGCCCTGGAGGAGGCGACCCTTCCCCGAGTGCAAGACCCCCGCTGCTCCCGGTATCACGCGCTCCCTTCCCCCCCATGCCCCACGCCCCACGCCCCGGAAGCCCCATTCCCGCCCCCAGCTTGCGGACTACTTTTCCCAGCCTGCCCAGCGGACAGCTGGCCACGTGGCCACGCTCGACCAATGGGGCCAGAGCAGAACTGGAATGCAGGAACCACGTAACGGGACTGCAGGGACTCGAGGGCCACTCACCCCGCATCTTCCTCTTTGGGGACCACGATTTCCACGCTGCACGCGGGCTCCACCTGCACCGTGATCTGCTGCAGGTCCTCCTCCGCATGCGCCTCCTCCTGGGGCCTGGAGGCGATGGGAAGACGCGCCTCAGTTTCCCTCCTCACCCGCCCCCCACCCCCACCCCAGGAGCACCAGCCGAGCTCCAGGCCAGTGCCAATTTCCAGTCCCGGTAACAAGCTGGTAGCCTCCACGAGGTGCTGTCTCCGCGCACCATCAGGCCAGGGCCCTGAGCCAGCCCAGCTCGCACCTGGTCCCTCTGGCCGTCATGCCCGCCTGGGGGCTGCAAAAGTCCACCTGGGGCTATCCTGTGACTCTGGCACCAGCAGAGGCATAATGAGTGAATGATGGCCTGGATCCCGCCCACCCCCTGGGGGCAGCTAGGCACCTGCCTGGGGCCTGGACTAGGGGGTGAGGTAGTTCTGGGGTTCCAGGCTGAGACCCGTGGTGCAGGTGGGTCAGAACATTGCAGCATCCAGGCGTGCAGAATCTCTGGATGGCAACACCAGGGAGCAAAATGGTGGCTGACGTCAGAGCAGGTAGCTGGACAGAGGGGGATGCACTTTGCACCAAAGATGTTTTGTACCATGACTTTTTTTTTCAACTGGCAGGAATTATCCCAAAAAAACTAATTACAGAAATGCCCTCTTCACTGCAGTCCTGTTACAAGATCAAACAACTGGGAACAACCCAAGTGTCCATGGCCCATTAGAGGGACGGCAACCAGCACATGCTCCACCTGCTCAGACAGGTGACCTTCTGCTGGTAGGTGACAGAGTAAGGGGCAGTGTGCCGCCCAGAGTGCACGCTGGTCAGAATGTGAGGAGAGACAGGCCCGAACGTGTGTCTGCTTGTATATTCACAAATATCTCCGGAAAGAGACAAAAACTCCCTCCGGGGGGTTGCTCCCAGAAAGGGGAGCAGGCATGGGGCAGGGGGAAACATCTTAACTATTTTCCTTTTTGTATCTCTTAGAATAAAAATATTAATAAAAAGAGAAAGAAGAACCAACAGGCACGTGTGGGAGCAGGGTCCTCTGGGCACCCAGGTGGGAGACAGACACAAAATCACCTGAGATATTCTATGCGGTCTAGAGCCTGACTTGAATCTGTGCCCAGAAAGGAGTGGTCAGAGACGAAGGGCTCTGGGTGGGGAAAGCGGAGGAGGTGCTGGGGCGGGCGGGCGGGAGAGAGGGAGAGGGCTGGGGTCTCAGCTCACCGGCCATCCTGTCCGGAGGACTGCGTGCGCCGCCTGCAGAGAGACCACAAGGAGGTGGGAGAAGTGGGGCGAGGCCCCGCCCACGCACAGCCCCCCATGGAGGGACACGGCTGGTCTGCTCACCTGTACCGCGGCTGCTCTGATGTCTCCGAGGGGGACCGCTCTGGGATGGAGAGGGACGTGGAGGACAGGGTCGTGGCGATGGAGGCGGTGGTGGCCTCCTCGAAAGAAGGCGGTGTGCAGGGCAGGAGGTCTGGCCGGCCTGTGGCGAGGAGTGGGTGGGCACTTGCGGGGGCCTGGGAGGCCTCTGGGCTCCACCTACAACTCGGCTCACCCTCTACCACCCATGCCCCCCACTCCCACCTGCCACCCCACACTGTGGTCCCTGCCAGCTTTAAGCGGGCAGATGTGCTCCAATTTCCCCCCGGCATAAGACCTTCCAGTAGCTTCCCACTGCTCTCAAACTGAAATCCGAACCCCTCCCTTCGGCCCCCAGGGTGTCCTGCTCCACAGGCCTCACCTGCCCTCTCCCCCCTCCCCCTCTGCTCCAGACACACAGGCTCCTCACTGTGCCTCCCACACAACAGGCTAGGCCAGGTCGCACCCCAGGGCCTCTTGCACAGGCAGCTTCTCCCTTCCTTGATGCTCTTCCACCAGCCCCTCCCTGCCTGGAATCTCTGACCCAGGGGACGGGAGGGACCTTCCAGAACATCAGGCCCAACCCCATCAAGTACTTCATCCCTCCAGGTCTCTGTGCACCTCTGATGTGAAGGGAGCCTGTCACCTCTGGGGCGTGGGTTGGGGGGGGATGGGCGGGGAGGCAAATTCTATGCTCAACCTTCGCTGTGGCTCTTCCGGGGGCCCCGTCCCAGCTGCTCCCCACTTCCCAGCTGGGTTCCAGTCACTGCCCCTTCCCATCCAGGCTGGGCCCAGCTGCAGGGGCCGCTTCCTCCTGTTGGACTGCTGCTGTTGCTCCCTGAGCCCCTCCCTTCCCAGCCCCCCAGGGACGACGCCTTGCCCCAGGGGCCCCCTTATCTCCCGGCCGCCTGCTCACCTTCGTCCTCCAGCGTTGGGTAGCTGCGGGCCCCCCGCAGGTCGTACTGCGCGTCCTCCCGCTCGCTGGGGATCTGGCTGGCCGAGAAGGCGGCAGTGGGCCCCAGGGGCTTGACGGCCAGCAAGGCACCGCGGCCCTTCTTGGACGGCGAGGACTTGAGGGCTGCAGAGGAAGGGCGGTTGGTGCTTGGGTGGCAGCACCGAGGCCGGGCCCTGCAGCCCCTGGTGCCTCTGTTGTACAAAAGCCTGGTTGCCCCCCCCCAGCCCCGCCTCCAGCCTGTCCCCCAGTGCTCTTCACTCTTGGTGGAGAAAGCCTGCCCTGCTTTCCACCCAGCTTGCCTCGGGAGGTGCCAGGAGCCCCAGGTACCTGTCCTGTCAAGAGAGATGGGATGAGCCCGTGGGGACCCAGCACTCCCACCCCGGCCCCCAGAAACAGCAGCAGACCAGCAGCTGCCAACATTTGCCAAGCACTTTGGGGCCTCACCCACTGTGTCCCAGCCCACCCGGCCACGGCCCCGCCGCTGACATGGAAGTCAAGGGCCTGGGACAGTGGGGCTCAGCACCAAGGGTCTGGCTCCCATGCAGGCTGCAACGGCCTGGGGAACGCAGCTCAGCTCTCGGGGCCCCCAAGTTCTTGTCTGCAACATCAGGGTCAGGGGAGGCAGGTAAACCCCGAGACGCCCTCTGCGCCCCGTCAGGACCTGTCACCACCCTCTCCCAGCGGGCCCTGTGACCTCTGCCCCCAGCATGGCGAGCTTAGCTCCCGCATACAGTAGGCGCTCGGTTTGCCTTAGGCACAGCCATCCAGTCCCTGGAGGCCGGCACTCCCTGGACCACAGCACCCTGAGAAGGTTCCAGGAAGAGATGTGCTGGTAAAGGTTAACAGCCGGCTCTCTGGGGACAGATGCTGGGTTTGTGGTATTTGCCGATTTCCATGGTGTAAACGGCCCCTCCACAGTCAACCTCAGCGTACAACTAGATGTCACAGAACGTGGAGCTGTGCCGAGAGCCAGCTGCAGGTGACCGGCGCTGGCTCATGGCCCGCACACATCTGGCCCAGGCAGTGAGAGCAGCCCCCCAGCTGAGAGCCAGACACTGGGCCTGCCCCTTCCCGATGCCTGCGTGGAGCACCCATGGAGTGCAAGGCCTGGACAGTAAGGCGCACACCAAGACCACCCCCACGCCCACAGACGCTTACTGAGCACCTACTGTGTGCCAGGCCCCGAGCTGGACGCTGGGGACGTGGAATGACCAGAGTGAACAAGCACCCTGCCTTTTGGGGGTGGGTGAGGGGTTGAGGGGGCCAACGACAGACACATAGGGAGAAAGACCCCTTCAGGCCCCATGTGGGGTCCGGCCTGGGGTGCACCAGGGTCCGTGACTCTGGAGGCCCAGCACGGACACAGGACCTCCAGAGGCCACCATGGGCTGGGGCCACCACGATTCCCCTGTGCCCTCCCCGACGACGCCCAGTTGGGCTGATGACCGGCCGGCTTCCGTGTGGCAAGGTCCCGTTTCCTTGGCAACGGTGCTTCCCCACTGATCGCGTGCGTGAACACACCTCCCCCTCCTGGCTCTGTACAGATGGGGAAACTGAGGTGCGGAAGGGGCGTCACTTGCTCAAGGCTGCGCGGGAAGGAGAGGACTGGGGTTGGGCGGGCGCCACCCCCACTGCGCTGTGCCCTGGACCAGGTCCCCGCCTGAGGCCCAAGGCTGGCTGAACACAGGACCAGCGCTCCAGGTTTACCCTGCCCTTGATCTTCCGCCCTCCTCCCTCCACGCCCCCACCCAGAGGGCCTGGGCACTCACAGGAGTTCTTCCGGAAGACCGTGTTGCTCATGAACTTGAAGAAGCGCTCGGCGTAGAAGCTGGGTCGGTGCACAGAGATGGTGTCCTGGGAAGGGAAGTAGGGGCCCGAGGGCAGGCAGGTGTGAGTGCTGTGGCCCCATGGGGGCTCCCGTGTCGGGGGCGGGATGTAGCCTCTGTGGGGAGGGGACCCAAGGAGCAGGTAGGGACAGGGAAGCAGGAAGGTGGTTTCCTAATAACCGCATCTGTAATTTTAACTTTTTGAACCATGTTTCAAAGAGGTAAACAGGTAAGTATCAAAATCAAGAAACCGGAAAGAATCTCTAAAGCAAGGGTAGGGGAGAGCACGGCCCGTGCCTGCTTCGAAAGCTGGGTTGCAGGCCTGTCCCTGTGGCTGAGGGAGGCTGGTGTCCTCGGGGCAGGCAGGCCCGGCGTCCTGCACTCAGGTGGGGGCAGCCCTGGCCACGCACTGCTCCTCATCTGTGCCACGCGGAGACTGGAGGCTGCCGGGCTCGCCAGGATGTAGGGACGTGAGGCAAGGAGCCCGGCACACGGTCGGGGCGCGATACGGGCTGGGCCCCTGGACGGACACCCTTGCTGTCCCTGGGATCCAGTCTCCTCGCCCGCTATGGCACGGTCTCCCTAGCACTGCTGACAGCAGGCCGGTCATTCTCTGGGGGTTGTCCTGGGCACTATGGGGTGTGGAGCAGCATCCCCGGTCCCCACCCACTCGATGCCAGGAGCCCCCCAGTGTGACCACCACAGATGTCCCCTGACACCGTCCGGTGTCCTCCCCCAGCTGTAACATAACAGAACCCATCTGGACATGAGGCCTCCCACAATGAACGCTGCACTCTATCCTTGCCTGCGTGGGGGCGTGGCCACATGGCCACATGACCACGTTCTGGCCAATGGCTGGCGAGCTGAGATGAGCTGAGCTAACGGAAGAGTCTCTCCACCCTGAGAGGAAGGGCGCCCCTCCCTCCGGCTGGGGCCAGGGGCCGAGGACAACGCCTGGGGGTGTGCAGCAACACACAGGAAGAACCTGGCCCCCAACACTGAGGGCCATCCTACTGGCCCCAGGATGCTCACACCTGGATGGTTAACTTCCATCGACATTTGAGGCTCCTGGGGAGTCGACCCAAATCCTCTGATGGGGGTTGCGGCCGCGCAGCTGCAACCTGGACCTTCTCAGCGCTTATTCCGGAAGGTCCCCCAGACCCTCCAGACGCTGAGTGGTGGGCGGGCTAGTTAGGACGCTGGATTTTACAGACTGCAGGCACACACACAGCCCTTAGCACTTGAGTGAGAGCTGGCCTGCGGGGGTCGGGGGGACCCATGGGAGGAAAGGCCTCCGCCTGAGCAGCTGGACCAGGGGTGCGCGGGCTGCCTCGGGCCCACAGGCAGGCTCTGTTTAGCCCCAACTCTTGGTCCTCACAGTCTTTTACATTCTGAAGTAATTCACTGCAAGTGTTCACGGGTTGGCTGCGCTCACAGGAAAACATGAATTTCAAGCTTTTCTCAAATAACTGAGCCAGTCCATCTAAGCAGGCCCCACCCCCATGGGGCAGCAGGGGTCAGAGTTGTGCAGTATTGCCCCCAGGGTGCAGCTGGGGCCCAAGACGCCCTCCACATCACATGTTCCCAGAATGCTCTCTGCCTGGCCGGCCCCTGACTCTCCGGGTCAGCCTGTCCTTGGGAATCCTTCCCACTCAGCTCGGGGCCCCCCGACCCGCTCCAGGAAGCCTTCGTGTACCGCTCACGGATGGCTCGGACCCCTCGTTGAGGATCCTGCAGCTGCCTTGCTTCCTCATCTCAGCCCTGACCCCTTGGCCCATGACTGTGGCTCCAGAAAGGGGGACACATCTCTCAGCTCTTTAGCACCTGTGCCTGGCCCAGGGAGACGGTCAGTGCGTTTGTGGACGGATGGACGGAATGAACGAACAAACGATGCTCACCCCATCATGGACAAGAGCCTTCCAGGTGTGTTCCAGCTTCTTGATGAACCTGCAGAGAAGAAAACGCCCAGAACGTCAGCCAAACCTTCAGGTCCAGGGGTTCTCTTCTGGGCAAGTCCATTCCAGGGGACACTGTTGATGTCTAGGAACGTTTGTGGTTGGCACGGGTGGGAGTGTTCCTGGCATCAACAGGGTAGAGGAGCCCTGGTCTAGAGCAATGAGGCCACCTGTTGGATCAGCCAGAGGCCACCTCCCCTTTCCTGCCCCCTTGACCGCCCCCCCACCTGCTGGCTGCTCCCACCACATTCTCTGGGGGTGGCAGTGGAAAGGTCGTGGTACGTAGCCCCCCGTGGGGGACAAAGCCCACCCTTCCTCTCTCCCACGGGCCAGGCTGAGCCCGGCCCCTCACTGCTGGAGTGAGCGCCCTGCACCAAGACCCCCAGCTAGGCCCCACCTGACACCGGGGCTGGGGAGAATGTTGCCTCCTCCAGGCAGCCTTCCTGGACACCTCTAGGCTGCAGGGGGAAGGAGCCCCTCCCTTGGCACACACCTCCGCCTCAGGGTGAGCTCCCCTCGCCCCACCCGGGGCCTCTGCAGAAACCCTGGAAAGCTGCCTGCTCCTGCTCCAAACGGGAGGGAGACGCCTGCAAGGGATGGGGTCAGCCCTCAGGAGAGGAAACAGGCTGCAAACATCAGCCATCTGATGGGCAAGAGGTGACAAGCAGGCAGAGGAGTCACCCTACGCCAAGTGGAGTTCCAGGCACGGGGTGGGGTGTGGACGGGGGACCGCCACGGCCACAACCTGCCTGTCACGCCTGGACTGTGTGTAACTCCTTCGATAAAAAACTAACAAGAGACGCTCACTGCTGTAAGCATGCAAAGCACAAGGCACGGGTAACGGAGCTGCCCGTCACCCAAGAGCGTCTGGTTCCTTCGGCTACACCACGCTCGTGTCCACACTCGAGACCACACAGCACATGGCACCGGCTGTGAGCATTTATTTCTGGAAGTGTAGGAACCTTCCAGAGATGTTGCGCTTCCCAGCCACAGGGTGTTTCCGTCTTGCTCTGTTCAGCCCAGCACTTGGCACACGGCAGGGCCCACAGTCAGTCAGCTGGCGACACCTCACCCACCACCCAGCCCTGCACTGGCCCTGACCGGGCTCTCACTGGGGAGTGGGGAGACAGGGTGGGGGCAGGCACCCACCCGTGGGACCGCAGGCTGGAGGGGGCACGGGCTCCCACCTGGAGGACCACAGGATGGGGGGCGGGCACCCACCTGTAGGACTGCAGGATGTCGATGATACCAATGTGTAGCAGAAGCCGCTCCCCGCGGCCGTTCACAGCGGGGATCCCGCCCATCCTGGGGAAAGGGTTCGAGAGTATCAGCACTTGCAGAGCTGGCTCAGGGGCAGGCCTGCCTATCAGGGGCACAGGCTGGAGGTGGCCTGGAGCCCCGAGCCTGGGGCCCTGGGCCTGGTCTGGGACTTGCAGGGACAGAGATGGAGGGAGACGCAGGCAGGACTGATGGGGCCTGGGGCTTGAGGATCCACACGCTCCCTGTAGGTGGCAGCCTGGCTGGACCCTCAGAGGGGGTCCAGGCACCTGGGAACCCCACACTGGTGAGGGGTCGAGCAGCTCTCCCGGCCAGCTCACCGAGTCAAAGCTGGAGGCCACAGGGTGCAGAGGGGTCCCGGCCATGAGACCCAGATGTGCGCACACCCACACGTGCACACGCGGAACTTGCACACACGCGTAGGCACACGCACACATGCCCGCATGTGCACGCGCAGGCTCCCGGGCAGGACCAGGCTTCCAGGTGCAACCTGGGGAGTTAATGGCCTCATGCAGCCCCAGGCCGAGCCTGCCCGGCGCACTTAGCGAGGTTGCACGATGCAGCAGCTGTCCTGCAGTCATTAGGGCCCCAGAGGCTCTGCCAGCCACACTCCACACCCGAGCTCACCTGCACGCCCTGCCATCTTGCCTGGCCTGGCACCAAGCCTACGAACGCCAGACGGCTGAGCTCCGGGCCAGCTCGTGTCCTCCCAGCCTCAGCCCAGTCAGGGCCCTTCAGCTGGCGGCCCAGTGTGGTGGCTAGGCCGGGGTCAAGCCTCGGCCCGTGCCCCAGCTGGCTGTTGCACCCTGACGGCTAGCCCCACCTCTGAGCCTCCTTTTCCCAGCTGAAGACATGAGGATGCCACCCTCCTCCTCCAGGGCCCCCTGCCCCCCAAGGACTGAACAGGGTCCGGAAATGGAGGGTGCCGCCGGTTCCCGGCATGGTCAATGCCTGGTGATGAGGGGACAATCGTGACACCTGTTCACAGCAGCGGTTTCCATCTGGGGCGATTCTGTCCTCAGGGGACAGTGATGCTGTCTGGGGACATGTGTGGTTGTCACGACTGGAGGGCAGGGATGCTGCTCCACCCACCACAGTGCCCAGGACGCCCCAGAGAAAGTGACCCGACCCTGAATGTGAGAAGCACAGGGTGGGTGGTAGGGATACTCTGTGAGTATGTCAGCGACCGCGCCCAAGCCCCCAGGTCAGGACCAGGTCGGCCAGGTGGTGGGTGGGGTCGGGGGATGCACTCCTCTCTGGACCCGGTCACCCCTCACTGCCGCCTGGCATCGCCAGGGAAGGACTGTTCTCAGCCCTGCCCCCGGTGGGTCCCGAGTTTGGTATCTTCCACCTTCTCCGGGGCCGTCTTTCAACACTTTTCCAGCTTTGCTGCCTACGGTGGCGCTTTAACCCACCCTGGGGCCCAGCGGGAGGGAAGGGGATCTGTGCTTCCCACAGGGATGGCCAATGACCTCCATCTACTGACTGACTGATCTGGACGCCCTGGTCAGAACACCTGGCCAGAGCTGTGTGTCCACCGTCCACCCCTTGGGGCACGGGGGGCTGGGGGATGGGTGGGCGCTGCTCTCCGCTTGACAAACCAGGAACAGGCCAGACCCTGGACTCGGTCGTATCCCTCTCACCTTCCTCACGACTCCCCCAGCCCGCTTCTCGCCTGGCAAGGGGGCCGGGGCAGCGACGAGAACGGGAAGCCCCCGAGCCCCGCCACCTACGTGTCGTCCGTCTCGATGGCCTCCCCGCGTGCGGCCCCGCCCTGGATGGACTCCATGGCCGTGGAGTAGAGCGCCTTCTGGCCCAGCGGCCGCTTCTCATCAGCGGTGCTCTGGGCGCCCTCGGCCTGCCGCTCACGCTCCTGCTGGTCGATGTTGTGCACGCCCAGGAGCAGGCTGTAGTCCATGATCTTGAAGCTCTCCAGCACCTGTGGGGCCGGGGGTCAGGGGGAGGCGCCAGCTGACCCCCAACCCCCACACCCCACCCCCATCTGGGTCTGTGTCCACTCAGTCCCCACAGCCAGGTGGGAGGCCCCATCCTCATCCCACTGGGGACCCCAGCGGTGGGCCTGGGGCGCAGCTTCTGACTCGAGGCTAGGCCGCCCTGGCCCTGGTTCGGGAGCCCGGTTCTCTGGCCACCACTCCTGCTGCAGGCCCCAAGGTGCAGCCCAGGACGGGGACACCCGGGCCCTGGGGGGTGGGCTCTTGGAAGCCGTGGGGCCCTGAGGTGTCTGGTGGTTTTCTGGGGAGGGGTCTGGGAGCCGGGGTGCAGAGGGGACCCTGGAGGACCCAGGCCTGGCCTGAGCCCTGCCAGGCCTCCGTATCCTCGCCTCTGAGGCCGAAGGGGGCGCGGGTAGACTGCAGTTGCAAGGCCTGCGAAGGGCCTGGCGGGTGTTCTTTTTTCCTAAGAAGCACCTGCCCATGGAGGGCAGCTCGGAGCCCGCACGAGCCTGATCTGAGGTGCACTGTAAGGTGAGGGCCCTCCCTGAAAACACCAGGCTGCTCCTGGGGCTTTGTTTCGGCAGCAGGAACGCAGCCTGAGGTGGGGCTGGGGCAGGGAGGGAGCGCGTATCTCGAGCTCACACTGCGTCCCCACTTTACAGGTGGGAAAACGGGGGCTCAGAGACGGAGGCCCCGTAATCACGGCCCCGGCCCGGCCCCCCCTCACCAGGCAGTCGCGCTGCAGCGTCTTGACGAGCGCGGAGAAGGTGTCGGCGTCGAGCATGAGCCCCTCAGGCATGTCCTGGATGAAGTCCAGGTCTTTGTAGGTGGGGATGCTCTTTTCCTTCTCCTTCTTGCTAGCCCGCCGCTTGTACGTGGAGCCCTTGAGGTCGAACTTGAGGTGCATCCTGACCACGCGCGGCAGCACGTTGTTCATCACCACCACGCGAATGTTCTTCCCGCCCGACTGCACACAGTACAGTCCGTAGAACTTGGGCAGCAGCGTCCGTGGGTTCTGGTTGAGGTTCTGGGGAGGAGAGGGTCACTGGAGATGACGCCGGGAGCTGTGCCCGCAGCCTGCGCGGCACCCTGTCTGCCCCACGGATCTCAGGCCAGAGGCCACCTCCTCAGGAAGCCCACCCTGACCACCTCTCCCAGGCTCGTCCCTCTCTCCGCACCCCCAGCACCCTGACTGTACAGCCAGCCAGATGAGTTCCCCATCACCCCACCTGGAAGAGCCAGGAGGATCTGTTTCTACAGAGTCAGGCCCAGAGAGAGACAGCCTTTCCATAAAGGGCCCCAGGGGATGCTGCCGAGGTGTCTGGGCCTGGCTTCCCACCAGGTCAGACCCAGGTGTCCCACCTCCCCAGCCCAAACCGGGGGGCATGGCGGGCACAGCCTCCAGGCGTGTCCAGGACAGGGGTCAGCAAACTCCGGCCCAAGGGCCAAATCCAGGCCACTTGTCTTCCTACAGCCGGGAGCTAAGAATGGTTTTACATTGTTAAAAAAATAAAAGAAAAACAGTGTCCTGTGACATGTGAAAATTACGTAAAATGCTCACGTCAGTGTCCAGAAAAGAAGTTTTACTGGCACTCGGCCATGGCTACTTGCTCTCGCCTTGTCTGTGGCAGCTTTCTTGCTGCAACAGCAGAGCTGAGCCGTGGAGACAGAGGCTGTCACTCACAAAGCTGAAAATGTTTACTATCTGGCTCTTTACAGAAGAAGTTTGCTGACCCCGTGAGCTAGGGGAGCCGGGGGTCTCACCCAAGATCATACACGGCTGGGGTGGGTGGTGCACCCCACAGGGAGAGATGGGTCACGACCTGTGCAGAGCTGCCCGGGGCCTCTGCCCCTGCCCACATCTGTGTATCAGGACCCCCGCTGCTGCAGGCCAGCAAGTCTGAGGCTCCTGCTCCCACCCCCGCCCAGAGGCCCAAATGCCAGCTGGCAGCCAGGCCCACCTCCCCAGCGCCTCTCTGAGTCACCGGCTGTTGAGACACGAGGCGCGAAGCCATGATTTCTAGGACCCGTGACTCAGGGCAGTGGGTTGGGGGGATGGCCAACAGGGCCCAGATGGCTGTTCCTGCTCGCCACGTGAGGGGGTCCTGCGGGTGAGGCTCAGTGACCCAGGACGGCCTGCCTGGAGGGGATGGTGCCCAGGGTGGGTGGTGCCGGGGTGTGTGTGTGTGGGGGGAGGGAGATGCCGGTGCCCGGGGGTGGGGGGTAGTGCCGGTGTGGGGGGACTAGTGCCCACGGCTCCTCAGGCAGAGGGAGGAGGAGGGTGTGAGGTCGGGGGCGCTGGGGCTGGAGGGGCACGGCGCTCCCACCATGTAGTAGCCGGGCAGCAGCTTCTGCAGGAACTCGGCCTCCTTGTGCATCACCGTCTTGATGATGAACTCATCGTCACTGGTGACGTAGAACAGGGAGCCGCTGGCACCAGGGTTGGACAGCTCGATGAGCGGCTCATTGCACAACGAGTACTGAAAAGGGGGGCAGCGAGTGGGCAGGGTGCTCACCAACCCCCACACCCCGGGGGCCCAGGGGCTGGCAGGCAACCCCGAAACTGGTCACCGTCAGCTCCATTTTACAGACAAGGCCACTGAGGCTTGGAGAGGGGGACGGTCTCGCCCAAGGCCACACAGCAAGGATTTGAGCCCGGGCTAAGCCTGCAGCCTCAGTGCTGACCCACTAGAGTGTGTTCCCTCTCCTATGAGGGACAGACACCTGGCCATATGGGGAGCCGACACACCTGGCCACGACTTGCCTCCCAGCCTCCCTGCAGCTACGACGGTCAGCTCTGACCCGTGAGCCGTAAGCACAGACTGCCGCGTGGGACTTGGGAGAGGCTCTCTAAATGGGTGGCAGGAGCTGGCGCACCTCCTGTCTGCACCCCTCTCTCCTCCCCACCTGGAACCCCGCAGCCGCACTGGACCACGTGGTGACCTTGGGGGTGGAAGCCCAGCACCAGGAACGGCAAAAACAGAAGCTGCGTGCCTGGTGAGCAGCCCCACCCTGGCCCCCGACACCCTGGCCCCTCCCACCTCTCTTCCCCACCTCCTAGTCCCTGACACCCACGTTCCACCTCCGCGATCACTGCCCATCGTCCCCGCGCACCCCCTCCGCACCATTAGATGGTAAGTTCTAGGGAGACAAGAATATCTACATGATTTGTTCACATAACAAAAGGGGTTCCCAGCACATACTTCAGTACCTGGCACAGAGTAGATGCTCAATTGTTAAGCAAATGAATGAAAAGCAAGGCCTGCAGGCCTTTTCAGCTGAGTCAATGAAGTACTTTTTGGAGTTGAGGCTGTCTGGGTCAGGTTTTCTGTCTCTTGCACCCCCCAAATCCTAACTGAGTACCGCTGGTATACACAGCGTGGAGGACAGGCCCCCTTTCCTATCCACAGAGAAAAGCAGGGAGACAGACACAGGACCCCACTGCCCTAGGCCCAGCTCCTGGATACAACTACACCTGACGCCACAGCTGCCCCTGGATGTCCAGGCCCCTAAGCCAAAGGCTACCCTGTGTCCACAAGCACTAGGTGTGGGGGTGCTCACAAGCTGGAGCCCACTTCCAGGGCTCCTCAGAGCCCACTGACAGCCAACCCTGGATCCCACCCGCCATCACCCCTTCCGAGCATGGAGCAGGACTGCACTGCCTGGCTTCTCTGGGGTGGGGTGACGCTGTCTGACAAGCACTGGCCAGTGAACTGTGAGCACAAGTGGTGGGTCATCCCCAGGTTGGAAGATTTAAATGCTGCTGTGTGCCTTCCAGAACTCTCCCTCTGCCTCGGAGGCCAGACGTTTGGGGTGGGAGCTGCTTCGCCAGCCTGGTGTGCCAGTGATGAGCACAGCCCCTAGTCAACCCAGGGCGGACACAGAGTGTGAGCAAGAAACACACCACTGTCATTTTAGGCCGCACGGATGCAGGGGTCTGTTTCTTACCCAGCATAATCTGCTCCGTGCTGACTGATACATGGTGTTCCCAGTGCTCCTGTTTCTCACGTATTACTGACTCTCAGGAGCACCAGCAGAGGCAGACTCAGGTCCAAAGGAGGAGGGGCCTTCTTCAGTCCCTTGACCAAAAGCCAACTGCCACTTTCTCAGTACTACCTGACACCCAAGCGTATTTCCATGCACCCCCTGGTCTGCTGGTGCCTGACCTCAGCCTTGAGAGGTAGGAGCCGGCAGTTTTATTGCCCCCACTCAGTGTGATGGAGGCAGAAGCCAGCTCATATGGCAGTCAGCACAGTCAGGATATGCCAACTAACAAGCAGCCCCCAGACAGCACTCACAGTGCGTCTGCTGTGGGTCAGCTGGGGCTGTGTTCTTCGCTGTCACTCAGGGGCCCAGGCGGGGGCCACCCCTAGTGAGGCACTAACACTTCCGGCATCTCTCCTGGAGTGGTGGGGGGACAGTCAGTCCTCCCACCAGGGATTCTGAAGCCCAGTCTTAGCACCGGGGACACAGCAGTAAACAAAACAGTCTGAATCCTTGGCTCCTGGAGCTGACATTCTTTTTTTTTTTTTAATTTAATTTATTTTTAGTTTTGGCTGTGTTGGGTCTTCATTGCTGTGCGCGGGCTTTCTCTAGTTGTGGTGAGCGGGGGCTACTCTTCACTGTGGTGCGCGGGCTTCTCATCGCGGTGGCTTCTCTTGTTGTGGAGCAGGGGCTCTAGGCTCGCGGGCTCAGTAGTTGTGGCGCGTGGGCTTCAGTACTTGTGGCTCACAGGCTCTAGAGCACAGGCTCAGTAGTTGTGGCACACGGGCTTAGTTGCTCTGCAGCACGTGGGATCTTCCTGGCCCAGGGCTCTAACCCATGTCCCCTGCATTGGCAGGCGGGTTCTTAACCACTGTGCAACCAGGGAAGCCCTGGAGCTGACATTCTAGTTGAAGCCAGACAGATAAATAAAGTAATACACAGTGTGTCAGATGGTGACAAAGGGCACAGAGAAACATCCCGCGGTTGAAAGGCAGACGTGCTGGAGGCAGTTAGAGTGGCCAGGTGGCCAGGAAAGGTGTGTCCCCTGAGGAGCCAACATCGAGCAAAAGAATGTGACTGAGCCCGTGCAAAGGCCCTGAGCGCGTGCAGATGGTGGAGGACAGCATAGGGAGGAGGCCGGGTGGCCAAGGGGATGGTGCAGCGGAGTTCGGTTGGGAAGGGAACCAAGGAGGCCGACCTTTATTCCGAGTGCGGGGACAGCTAGGGAGTGACATGGTGTGATCTGTGCCTTAAGAGGCCCCCCTGGACTTTGGGGGTGCGAGCCCGACGGGGTGCCCAGGTGGGCGGGGCGGGGCCTGGCCAGGGGCATCAGTGGAGGACGAGGAGTGGCCAGATTCCGATGCATCCGACAGCAGGGCTGGCCGTGGGAGCAAGAGCAGCTCAGGGAAGGCTCGGACGGGGGCAAGGGGCGTGCAGCTGCGGCCACAGCCATTGTCCATCCCCGCTCCGCCTATAGCCACTAGCCACAAACATCCACAGCACAGAGGCCCCGCCCAGGTGCCCCGCCCTCCTTGCGCTCCGCCAGGCATGGGCCCGCAGCCACCGCCCGGCACCTTTGGGCACAGACTACAGCGAAGCACCCTGCAGGAGAGCAGGGACGTCGAGCGGAAAACCCAGCAGAAGGGAAGTGTCCAGTTCTGTACAGGATATATCTACGGGAGGAGAAAGTTCTGGAACCAGATGGCTGACAGCAGCTGCCCTGGTGAGCAGCTTCGTCGGGGCCGTGGGTCTTGGGCCTCACTGGGCACCACTGCCAAGGGGCAGGCGGGTGACAAGCAGGGGCTCCTGAGCCAGGTAACCCACCGTCAGGACGGGGTCATGGGCAGACGACCCCCGATTCTGGAAACAGCCCGCCACCCCACCCTACCCCCATGCCCTGCTGTCGTGAGCTGAGATTAAATGACATTTAACCCCAGGAGAGCACAGGGGTCTCACAAGGGGTGAGAATGACTATGCACAAAAAAACTCGGGCCTGGTGTCTGTAGCTGGGGCGGGGGGCGGCAGCCAGGGGCCGAGGCCGTGACCATGGAGGAGAGGGGAACCCCGGGGGAGGCAGAGCCAGCGAGGGAGGCGGGGACAGTCCGGGCACCCGGTCCATCCCTGCCCCACCGCGCGGGCTTCACTCCTGCAGCTCGGAGCGACCCGGCCCACGGCTGAGGGGCTCCGCTTGCCCTCCGCACGGCACCCATTTCCTTGCCGTGTTTCCCGGCTTGCTCCCCGACGGCCGACCCCAGCAGGCTCCCCAAGGCCCTGTCTGCAGCACCCCCACCCCCTCAGGCCCAGGATGGACATGCCTCAGGCCTGAACCTTCCAGCCCGCCAGGGCCCCGTGGCCCAGAACACCCAGGCCATCTCCGCCCTCCTGCTGCCATTCCAGGCTCACGCTCCCTCCGTGGCCTATGTTGGAGGCCGCAGGGCTGCTGCCTGCCTGTCCCTGGCGGTGTTGGTGGGAGTGGAGGTTAGGGAGAAACGAGAACACTCCCCGTCTGGGAGGAGCAGGGAGAATGAAGTTGAAGGTCGCCAAGGTGGGGCCGGGTGACCTCAGACGTCTGAGGTCCCTACACTTTACTTATCAAGTTTGAGATCAGGCCCCAGCCATCTCCGTGGCCCACCTCTGTGGACGTGGCATTTCCACTGTCCACTCCCTGCTAATGGACACCGAGGCCATTTCTCCCCAACTGTGAACAAGGCCATAGGTCTCCCCTCCCGGTGACATGACAACACAGAGTCTGGGTAACCGGCGTCCTTTCTGCTGTAGAACCGCCAGGCTGCACACGAAATGCTCCTCCGCGCGCCGCGGGGCTCGCAGACGAGGGAAGCTCTTCCCAGGGCTGGGATGGGGGAGGTCGCATGGGACTCGGTGACTTCTGGGCACTGACCGGGCAGAGCTGGGGAGCCCCAGGTCACACGTGTCCCCGGCCGGAGCAAACGCTGGGCCTCCAGAAGGACGTGGCCCCGGCTGAGGGCACAGCTTTCCCACAGATTAAGGCCCGAACAGGAGCAATCGGAACACAGTCAAGGCCCCCCAAACCCACGGATCGGGCCTCCCCGGAGACGGCAGGTGCCAGGAGGTCAGACGTGGGCGTCTTCGCAGACGCCGAGGCCTCCACATGCAAAGTCACAACGTGTGACCAGGCGGGCCTGGAACAGACCAGCCGGACCTTCTGAAGTGGAGACTCTGGCCGATGACCCAGACGCTGCTGCCGTGAAGCCCCATCTGGACGTGACCTTCAGGAGTCCTGACAGGGATGCGAGGTCAGAGGGTCTGGCCTAGGTTTTGTTTTTTCTAACTTGAGAGACTAAAACCACAGCGGAGCTGGGAGGACAGAGTCCAGGCTGGTGGCCAGGAGCACAAGCATGGCCGGTGACGGGACAGTCCCTCGAGGATAAGCGCACAGAAGACTGTAATGTCTGGAAGGAACAGACGGCCCGGCCAACAGCCAGCGAGAACCGAGTCCGGCCCGCCCCGACTACAAACTGAGGAGGGAGCCCGGCGACGCTGCACCCACGTTCCTGCCCCACAGAGACCAAGAGGCAACAAACAGGTGGTGATCTGAGCCGGCGAGCCTGGGCTGGAGCCGGGGGACTGGGGACGCAGCAGCAGCCGAGGACACACTCACCAAGTAGTCATCCGGCCGGATCCCAAAGAGTTCCCGGAAGTAGCGGAAGGCGACAGGCGCGTAGGTCTTGAACCTGAAGTCCTGGAAGTGATGGGCGGGGGTGAGGTTGCTGCCTTCACTGCAGAGGAAGCAGGGGGGAGGTCTGTGAGGGACGGTGGCTCGTGTGCTCTCCCCTCACCCACTGACGGCCCGCCTGCCTGCCCAGGCCCAGGCTCAGCCCCAAGGTCCCCAAAGAGCCAATCCAAAAAGCAACACGGGGCTTCTGATGGGACAAAGGGCCATAGCCAGCCTTGGGCTGTCCCCCAACAACCACCCTCCCTTCATCAGCAACAGAGCCCACAGCATTGGGTGTACACATGGCTGCCCAGAATAAGACCACTGCCAGCCTCTCCCACAGCCTGGTATGGTCAGGGAGCTGTGCTCAGCCAATCCCCTGTGAGTGGAGGAGAAACGATGTGGGTCCTTTCCTGGTCATGCCCTTAAAGGGCAGGGGCATGTGCTCTCCTTCTCCTCCTTCCTGCTATTGGAATGCAGGTGTGATGGCAGGAGCCTAGGCAGCCCCTGGGGGCCACTGGTAAGTAAAGCAGCATATTGAAGATGCTGGAGAAACCAGAAGGAATCCAGGGCCCCCAACATCACAGAGCCACCTGACCAACCCTAGACTATCAGTGTGTGAGTGTGTCGCACGCAAGCGCGCGCACACACAGACACACACACACACACACAAGAAACAACAAACTTCTGTCTTTCCCTGTTTTTAAAAGTCACCATTACATTGCGTCCCTGTGATTCAGCAGCAAACTAACATCCTGACACAGGGCTGGACCTCAAAGCCAGGAGACCCCAGGAGGGGCCAGTGCTATTTTTGGCAGAGAAAGGAGCTGAGAGAACGGGAAGACTATTTCCTAGCACCGCTGTCTGCGAGCAGGGCGAGCTGCTGAAGGCACGGGAGCTGCCCCTGCAGGCCGGGCCAGGTACCTGGGGAAGAAAATGCTCTCCACCACGTAGAAGTCCTGCATGAGCACGTCGCGCTCCGGCTTGGAGCTCAGGTTGCCCACGGTGTAGCCAATGCCCAGCTGGATGGCCCCCTTCAGGGTGGAGGACGTGGTCTGCGGAGAAACCCAGCCACATCAAGACCCCCGGGGCCGGTCCCTGGCCCAGCCCTCGGCCGCCAGGGTTAGAAGCAAGGTGGGGGGCCCCCTTGGGACAGGGGGGCGGCATCTGGCCTGCCGCTCAGCCTGCACAGCCACACAGCAAGGAAGTGGCCTGGCTGAGATGCCAACACCACCTGGCGCGGCCCCAAGGCCTGTTTTCTATCCAGCTTCTAGAAGGTTCCCACATCTCAAAACTGCCCCAACACAGCAAGGGTCTTTGGGGGATTTTGCCAGGGTTTCCTTTGCGGGGAGGGCACAATACACAGCAGTGCCCAGGCTGCACTTCCGAGACCAGGGTTCCATCTGTCCACCTTCGAGGGGCTCTGCCTCTCTATTCCTCGGTCCCCACCCCGGTCGAGGATGGAGGTGACAGCGTCAGCCCTCCCGGGGCCACCCTCATGCCCGCCCACACTGGAGAAGCACCAGCTGCCTGTCCATCTGTCAGCACCGCCGCTCATGTTACTGTCACTGTGAGCCCTAAGCAACGTGCCCACCACTGAGGAAAGACACCTCGGCCCCCAAGCCACTGACTCTGGTCCCCAGCACCCCCACTGCAGGAGCAAGCCCTTCCCCGGCACCCGCCTCTCCTCCTGAAACCCCCCGCGAGCCACTCCCTCAAGATGCTGCTGACTGAACACAGTTCTCCAGAGAAGATATGCAGACAGTCAACAAGCACAGGAGAAGGTGCTGAACACCACCAGCCACCAGGAAGATGCAAATCAGGACACAGTGAGACGCGCTTCCCACGTGCTGGGAGGGACAGAACCAGATAGACAGACAACAAGCACCATGGAGGCCCAGAGAGTGGAATCCTTGTGCTCGGCTGCTGAGAATGGAAAAAAGGGCAGCCGCTGTGGACAGTCTGGCAGCTCCTCCACTGGGTCACATATGGCTCTCATGGGACTCAGCGGTTCCACTCCTAGGTGTGCAGCCCAGAGAGAGAAGCACAGTCCACACGAAAGTACACAAACCCTCACAGCAGCACTATTCACAACAGCCGAGAAGTGGAAACAACCCAAGTGTCCATCGACGGATGGTGGATACACAAAATGCTTCCCCCTCCACGCACGCGATGAATGCTTCCCCCTTCACCACTCGACCATGAAGAGGGGGGAGCCCCGACACTCGCTACAGCGTGGACGGACCCTGAGAACACGATGCTCAGTGAGAGAAGCCAGACACAGAAGGACACACAGGGTGTGATTCCACTGACAGGAAACGTCCAGAACAGGCAGATCCACAGGGACAGAGAGTGGGTTCCTCATTGTCAGGGGCTGGGGATGCGGTGGAGGAGGCGAAGGGGTACGGGGCTTCTCTTGGAGGTTAACAGAAATGTTTTAAAGTTGACCGTGGCAATTGCTGTACAGCTCTGAATACTCTAGAAACCACCTAACTGAACACTTCAGAAGGGTGACTCATAGGCTGCATGCACTGGCTCCCAGCAAAGCTGGTATTTTAGGAGGCGCAGCAAGGCGGGGGGAGGGCGGGGACCAGAGGCAGCGGGGCCCAGGGTTACCTCTCACATCCCCAGCCCGACCCCTCCTCTCCTCAGCCCCACTTTCAGAGAGAAGGGAGGGAGCTGTGATTTCCTCTTGCCCAAGGTCACACCCAAGGCCACAGGTGACTCAAGGAGCCCAGCAGGTGGTGCAGCCTCAGAGCACCTGCTGGCAACCAGCAACCGAGAGCAACTGTCTCCAGCCACCTAGTCTCCAGCCACCTACGGCCGCGGCCCACACCCGACCTTCAGGGCCCGGTGCACCCACGAGGACCCCTCGTCCCACCCCCGCCGACGGAGGGCAGAGCAGGAACCTTCTTGTAGGTGGTTTCGCCGGATGCGTCCACACCCCGATGACCCAGCTTCTTCCCGTGGCCAGGGCCCTGCTGTCCAGTCATCAATGGGGCCTGGAGAAGAGGAAGCAGGAAGTGTTTAGAACTGGCAACGAGGCACTGCTGCAGGGGCCAGAGTGCTCTGGAAATCCTGCCGAGAAGGGGCTTCGTCGCCGCCCGGCCGGAGCCCAGGGCGGGGGCCGCTGGGGGCGGGATGCAGGGCACTCGGGCTCCACGCCCGGGGGGCCACCCCCAGACCAGGACCGCCGGCTCCTCTAGAAAGCAGGAAGGTCGGCAGCCCCGGCCCTCTGCAGGCGGGGGTAGAAGAGCCCCAATTTCAGGGTCTCCCCCAACCTGGCACTGCTGACTTGGGGCTGGTCACTCTGTGAAGGGGGCGTCCTGGGTGCTGTGGGGTGTGGAGCAGCATCCCTGCCCCCCCCCCACTTGCTGCCAGGAGCCCCCCAGTTGTGACAACCACAGACGCCCCCAGACATGGCCAGGTGAGACCCTCTGGGCTGGAATGACTGCAAACAGCATCTCCTCCCTGAGGGAAGAAGTCCCGCTGGCCTGGGAGCAGGCTGGCTCCTGCCAGCTCCAGGGGACACATGTGGCATCCCAGCAAAGTCGTGTGAGAGCCGCTGGCCCCCATGTGTGACATCACAGGGGGAGGATGGTGGATGGGGCAGTGGGGCCTGGAGGGACACAGGTGCCAGCTCAGGGCCGGGGCTCCACGAGTCACAGACATTTAAGAAGCACCTGCCGCCACCTGAAGGGCTCAGACCAGCCTGTTCTGCTGACCGCCAGGGGCCAGGCTCCGCTCAGGGAACGTTAGTTGCCAGCCCTGCTCCACACCCATCTCTGGCTCCCCACTGCCTGCGGCCTGGACGCCCTCCGGGACCCCAGCAGGTGGACAAAGCTCACCTAAGAAGGACCTGAGTGCCCAGCCGCGTCCTGGGAGAGGAGCCTGGCTGGGAGGGAAGGCAGACACCCGGGCGGGGCGGGGGCTCCTGTGCACCTGGGCTGCCTCTAACCCGCTGTCCGCGGCTCCTTGGACAACAAGGCTCACAGACGCCCCTCGCAGGCGGCCTCCGGGAGTGACCGGAAACTGACCAGGGACTGGGCGCTAGGGGCTCGCGCGAGCGGACAGGACTGGAGGGACCCGGACAGGTGTGTGGGGCTGCTGGGGCGCCATCCTGGAGGCGCGGCTGGCAGGCGATGGCACCACCCTCTCCAGGTCCCTTCCGCCTCCCCGCTCCCTGGACAGCCCAGGGTAGGATCCTCGGGGCCCTCCCCGCCCGCCCCACGCCTCCCTGAAACTCAAGACGCTGGCGGGACAGACAGGTTTTCACCGTCTGACGACAGTTGCTTATTTGCTTGGCCAGCATCTTGGGCCCAGGGAGATGCCCGAGGCCACAGAGCAGGATGCGGGCTGGGCCGGGCACTTCCGGTCCACCTTCGGGAGGCAGGCCAGGGTGGGGCCCACGGGACACTCACCTCCGCTGGGGTCGTCTTCTTTGGGGCCGAACCTGAAGAGGAGAAGGGAGACTTCAGTCTGGACATGGGGGCGCCACCATACACACACCCTGCGCCCCTGGCAAGGCCGTGAGGACCCCACATGGCCAACGGGCCTGGGGACGTGATGCAGACGGGCTGGACGAGGGGCCCCGAGGCGGGAAAAGCTGCGGGAGCGACCACCACGACGTGGCCGCACAGACGGGGGGCGGGAGAGGAGGAACGGCACAGCCCGCCACCAGGAGGGCCCTGGGCGAGGGCAGGTGGTCGTCGCAGGGGCGGGGCGGCAGCAGTAGGCGGCTGGGGCCCAGGCTGGAGTGACGGCGCGGGTCCCGAGGCAGCCGGGCCAGCCAAGGATGCTGCCTGGCTCCCACTCACACGGCTCCCAGCTGGGGTCCGGGGGGCCCAGGAGGCTCACGTGGGGAGGCCTCAGGCCAACCACTGACCCCTCTGACCTCGGTGTCCTCACCCAGAAAGCTGGCTTCTGCTGAGGATTATCTGTTCAGTGAGTGTGATCAGCAGATATCTGTCGCCCCAAGGATATCCACATTCTGATCCCAGAATGGGCTTTAAAGGTGGGGTTAAGTTGAGGCCCCTGAGACGGGGATGACCCTGGATTCCCTGGGGGGGCCCAGTGTCATCACAGGGTCCTTATAAGAGGGAGGCGGGAGGGTCAGAGGCAGAGAGAGACGGGAGATGCTGCGCTGCTGGCTGTGAGGATGCAGGAGGGGCCGCGAGCCAGGGATGCCGCGAGCCAGGGATGCGGCGCCTCTGGAAGCTGGAAAAGGTGGGAACCGATGCTCCCCTGGAGCTGGCCTCCGGAAGGACCAGCCCTGCCCACACCTGGATTTAGCCCTGTGAGGCCCAAGTCAGACTCCTGACCTCCAGGACTGTCAGAGAACCAATCTGTCTGGTTTTAGATCAAGTTTGTGGTGATTTGTCACAGCTGCAACAGGAAACTCAGACACCGGTATCTACCAGGTGTCAGCTTGGAGAGGGGAGGCAAGTGGTGACCAGGACAGTCCCGTCCCCCGCCTTCAAGGGCTCACAGCCCAGGGGGAGCAGAGAAGGGCCTGGACAGTGCAGCGAGTGCCAGCAGGATGACTTGGGGTGACAGGTGGGGGGTCAGATCAGCAAGGGAGGACTTGAGCTTTTACCCCAGGGAGGTGGGAGTCCTGCAGGACCGGGGGTGGGAAACACACCGGACCTGACTCAGGTGCCCTCTGGTGGCCGTGGGAGGACAGACAGGGTGAGGACAGAGCCGGGGACCAGTGGGGAGGGGACCGCGCTGGTCCAGGTGGGAGATGATGGGGTGGACCAGGGTGGCTGATGTGGAGGGGTGAGTGAGAAGTGGGAGGATTCTGGTTAGCTCTGAAGTCAGGATAGACAGGCTGTGCGCACTGGGGGCGGAGTGAAGAAAAGTGAGGAGTCGGGAATGACTCAGGATCTTGGAGCGACTCACAGGAGAGAGCTGCCTCAGCCAAGATGGGGGACCCAGCAGGAGCAGGTTTGGGGGGTGGTTGGGTGCAGGGTGGCCATGCTGAGTGCGAGAGCCCCGTGAACCCCCTGCGTGAAGACGTCAAGGGGCAGCTGGACCCTGAGTCAGGAGCTCGGGGAGGCCCAGGCTGGAGACAGGGCTGTAGGCAGCTGTCCGGGGGTAGAGGGGCTTCGAGCCCCAAGAGCAGACAAGGCCATCCGGGGAAGGTAGGGGTGGGGGAGGAGAGACGCCCCCGGAGGGGGGTGGGGGGAACAGGGGCAGCAGGCCCAGGTCAGGGGTCAGAACACCCACTCTATCCACCCGGCTTGGGCCAGGGCTGGGGGCTGGGGACTGACAGCGAACGGGCATTCGGCTTCCTCTGGGAGGATGAGAATGTTCTGGAATCAGTGGTAACGGCTGCACGACACTGTGCAAGAAACACTGAGTTGCACACTTAACAGGGAATTTTATGGTATCCATGAATTATCCCTCAGTAAAGAACATAAACCCAAGACGACCCGGCCGTGGCACAGCCAGGCTGGACAGGGTAGGGACTCCCCTGAGTGCCCATCTCTGTGCGCGACCCCCAGAAGACAGGAAACCGAGGCCAGGTTGGGAGCCAGCTGGGCGCTTCGTGGCAGCATGGCCCACAGAAGGGACCCCCCACCCCCAGAGGACAAAGCCCACGGGCCCTGGAAGGCGCATACCACCACCAGAACGGGAAACGCCAGCCGCATGTGGGTCACAACAGTCACGCCCGCCGGCAACACGCGGGCCTCCCAGCCTGGGCTCCCTGGCCACAGGGACGAACCTGGGCTCAGCCCCTCCCGAGGCCCGGGGGGGTGTTGGAAGGTGCTGGAAAGCCGACATAATATTTTCGTTGGCTGTCCAACAGCAGAACAATGCATGGTTTTGTGTCTGGGGTGTGGGGGAAGGAAGAGCGAACAAGGCAGGAAGCGGCAGTGGACCGCGCAGGACATTCCAGACTTCGTCTGACCCCAGGCAGCCCCTTCTCGGCCCACCTGGGGCACCTGAGCCCACAGCCCAACCCCTGCAGCTCTGCAGCTCCCGGCCCCTCATCCCGGGGTCCAGCTGGTCCAACACGGTGGTCCCGATTCCCCCCCAAGCCCCAGCCCACCACCGAGGCCTCTGCAGTCTCAGGCCTGTGGGAGCGGCCTGGCCAACACCAGCATCAGACGCAAAGTCCCAGCCGGGTCCGCCCTGCCTGGGGACACTTGAGGGACTGACCTCTCCCCACTTTGTGCCTGGATCTCACCCCCAGGCCCCCCTGCTTCTCCTGGCTGCTGAAGGGGGAGACCCACCCCACCCGGAATACCCCCAGGCGTGAGGCCAGGAGGGGCAGCAGGCAGGCTCCACGCTGGCCCAGGTCACAGGGCAGGGACAGAGCGAGGGGAGGACAGACAATGGATGGAACACCGGGGACGGCGCCGCGCCCTCTGCCCGGACACTCTCCGCGACGTCCCATCGGAGGGGCCTCCTCATGGCCTCCCCGGGTCCCGCCATCCACACGCTCTCACTCACTCCCTGCAATTCCCTTTTGGAACCTCGTCTGTCGGTCGCCCTCCTGACCAGGTGACCCTGTTGCCGGGGGCCATGCAGTTCCTGCACCCGCTTCCACCAGCCGGGCCAGGGGCGGCAGGGACCAGCCGAGATGTCGAACTCCTCCCAGCCCAAGATGTAACCAATTATCTTTCGAATGAGCCACCCTGTTTTCAAGGAAATTAAGTTTTAAAAATAGACAGGGGGAGGAGGAGAGTGTGAGGCGCTGCAGAGCTGAGACCTGGGGGAATCTGGGGGCACAGCTGTGCCTCGGGCCGGGCTCCCCGCAGACACCTCTGAAGCCCGCTGACGAGGGACCCACCCCCTCCTCAGCACACACAGGACCGCTTCTCTACACCTGATGTGGAAAATGAGGCAGAGAAAGCTCCCCAAGGACCCTGGGAGGGGCCTTAACATCTGTCCTTCAGCAAAACCACTAGGTTTTTTCTACCTTGACGTCTACCCAGAGTCCACCACTGTCCCCGGCTCCTCTCAGCCCCCATCCTCTCCCACCTGGACCAGCTCAGTACCCTCCCCTCTGGTCTCCAGCTCCCACCCTCCCTCCAGCCTGTCCTCCCCACAGCAGCCACCAGGGGGCACCCGTGAGCACCTGAGTCAGGCCCCACCCCTCCTCTGCCCACAGCCCTCCAGGGTCCCACCTCCCTGGAGGTAAAAGCCCAAGTCCTCCCTGTGGCCCACAGGGACCTGCACAACCTGCCCCATCCCGTCCCTGCCCTCCCCGCTCCCTCTCTCCCCCTCGCTGACTCTGCTCCAGACATACAGGCCTCCTTGCTGTTCCTCCAACATGCCAGGCCTGGTCCTGCCCCAGGGCCTTTGCACGGGCTGTTCCCACCACCTGAAATGACCTTCCCAAGACCCCTACAAAGTTTGCTCTCTTGCTTCATCCAAGACCTGGCTCAGACATCACCCCCTCAGAAAAGCCGTCCCCTGACCACCTCGCCCCAAACTGCCCCTCTGAGGCCACTCTCCCCACCTCTCGGCTTTCTCTCTTCCCACCACTTGGCACCACCTGGTGCTTGTGTGTTGCATCTTCCCCCAACTACAGGGGACCAGGTCTGCTTTGTCACCTGCCAACAGGCACCTGCAGAGCTCTCTGAGTGCTGAGGGGGAGAGGTCCCTCCAGAAAGGGGTGGCAGGGGACATGAGGCCTGTGGGGTCACTGCAGGGGCTGTGCCCCGAGCACTGCCCACCTGGTGCCCAGGAGAGGGCTGGCTCCCCGGGACTCAGCAAACAAGAAAGCACAAGGCCCGAGAAAGCAGGAAGCGGTGCCAGGGCCAGCACTCACTCACTTCCCCTATTAGCTGGAAAGGTCTGGCCACAGAAGCAGAGTCCTGCAGGGAGGCTGCGGGGAAGCCGGGCATCCCATGGGCATGGCAGGAAGCTGGGGCCCGTGGTCAGGCTGGGCTGCCCACAAACCACACCGGGAAATCTGCTTGTAACCCATAAGGACGGTAGGCTCTGTGGCCAGCAGCCGTGTGACTCACCCCGAGCTACAGAATTCGACAGAAGGGACTGTGTGACGTGAGGAAGGTGGGCAGCTTCTGGTTCCACCCTCGGGGTCCCTGCTGGGGCCCTGGGGGAGACCCCCGGGGGGGCAGGCAGCCCCTTCCCCTGAGGCCTGTGAGCGCGGGAGCCTCCTAGACTTCATGCCGCCCGCTGAACCCAACCCAGATGGCAGAAGCGCAGGCAAGCGTGTGCAGTTTGCAGCCACGCAGTTCCGAGGTGGCTGTTACACAGCAGTAGCTGACTGACGCAGGTACCACACCTCCACACCGAGAGCACTTCCGAGAGGAATATAAGGATACAGTTCCAGGGACTCCTTTGGGAGAGGGATAAAGGACAGAGCACTTTACTTCCTCTGCCCAACTTGCATTCCTCACGCTCACAAAAGCATTAAACGTGCCACACGACAGATCACTCATCCTTAAAAAGGCATGAAGCACTGATATTCGCTGC